GTTTTCTTATGAATAAAATACAAATAAACAATTATAATCTGTTAAATAAAAAATAGTAATACCGTTACGTGTGTATTTACGGCTCCATGGGACACAAGGAGAAAAAACACACGTAACGTTACGGACGCAATCCCTAGTAACTTTTGCGGACTTCCGGTGCGGATTACGGATTACGGGTTCTATGTGACGCCGGCCTTACGGGTTCTATGTGACGCCAGCCTTAAATCAGCGAAAATGAAAACCACTGAAATCTATAATATACTGGAGCAAGCTTTCAAGGAGTGGGAGTGTCTCCTCGGTCGAAGGAGACACCCCCACTCTTAATTTAGACTTAATTTTGAAAATTAAAACGATTAGTAACAGTATTCAGTTAACAGGATCGAAAGAACGTACAAGTATTCTGCTACATGTTATAGCCCAAATATGTTACACCGGAAAATTGCATTTATTTTGTGCATTTGTGTAAATTTTTTTGTGTTAATGTGTGTCTCTGCGCAAATTCACAAATTCAACGAAAATAATGGCAGTAATTATACACTACCTGCGTATACCATTGCCTCAAGAGCCGATCTTCTCAACTCGACATGTGGAAAGGAGTTACACAATTTTCGAGACGCTGTTGATCAACGAATACTGTGGAGTTTGAGAAGTTAGTAAAATTCTTAATACATTGTTTATTGACTGTTTTCAATATTGGGATGTAGTTCCGAAAAGCCCACACCTCCGATTTGCTCTAAACTACGCTTTTTATTGTACTTTTGCGCGCTGATTACGAATATGGCCATGCCGATTGGCGACAAGATCATTTTCGAAGTCAAAAAAACTCAAAAATTATCATTTTTTTAACCACTTCAGTGGTAGACTTCTCCGAAAGGTTTGTACCAAAAATGGTAAGAGTCAAAAGTTAAAATATCGAAAAACGGTGAAACACGAGTTCAAAGTTTTCGAAGAAACTACTTTTCGGAATGGGTGTGGGTCGAGTGGGGAGCCCTACGGAAGGGCTCTAATACTGAAAAACTAAACACATAGATTTGGGTTGGAACCTCGCTTTGCGTGGAAAGTTGCAAACCCATGTGGAACCTCGCTTCGCGTTGTAAAGTGTATACGTGAATACGGCGGAACCTACTGCATA